CCTGCCATCATGGTGCTAGGTCCCACTGGGAAGCCACCACCTCCGGCCCCCGAGGGCCAGGAGCCGGGTTCTGAGTTCTGCTTGCAGGTGGCTTTCCTCAGCTCCTCGTACTTGTTGCTGGGCTCTTGAGAACATACCCGTAGAGCCAGCCTTAGAGCCCACGAGAGAAATTCACTTTGTGTCCAGAGACAGGATCCTTCAAAGTGCTTCCCTTGTGAGATGCTACTCTGGTGGCTCTTGGACAAAGGGATCATTTCGTTTCATCCTTTTCCAGTTTTTGTTCTTTCAAAAGTCTCTCGAGGACCTTTTGTGTCTGTGGGGAAGTTATCCTAGAGGCAGGAGAGCAGCAGGCTTGGGCGGGCAGCCCCAGATCCATATCCTTGTGATGTGCAGGATCTGGGTACAGGTTTAATACCAGAGTCTGTTTGCACCTGTTAAATTGGCTTAAGCTCCAAGTTCAGGAAAGAGACAACACTGCCACCTAGTGGCCAATGGGGTGGACGGCACATACAATGACAGCTGATTCGCATCCAGTTGTTGAAGCTCAGAACCATTTTTAGCATCAGAATGAGTCTCTGACCCCATGTGACAGTGGCCGAGACAGCGACGGGGAGGGGGGAGGAGGGGGGGGGGAGAAAGGTTCCTTCCTCTCCATCCAGGGCACCATCACCACCCAAGGAGCCAGCTGCTGTGCTGCAGGCGCCATGTTACACTCCAGACCTGCCTATCTCCTCAAGAGGAGCCAGTGACATCAGCATTCCGCACAGGGAGCTGAACATGCGGACTTGTGGGGCAGCCCCACTTAGCCTGGGGTGGGGGGAGATATAAGAGGGGCTGCAGAGAAGTGTGGCTTCTTAATTCCCCTTTTCCTGTGTTGGAAGGGAACTTCCCTGATAGGCCTTGGTCACCCAGCAGTTCTGTAAGGGCAGGGCTCCTCCCCTGAGGCTCTGCCTGGTTGGGAGGCAGGCCAGGGTGGTAGAAACGCATGCTCTGGCACTGGCCCACCCTCGCCAGCTGCTCAGACCTCACTGAGCCTCAGTTTCTTCATCTATCAATGAGAAACCCTCCCTCAGGCTTCAGTGTGGAGAATATGTGGCCCAGAGCAGAGATACCGTTTCTTTCTCCTTTGCTGGGTGATTAAGTATTAACTATTTGGGAAATGCAAATGTAATTCAGAAAAAAAAACGAAGATGCAAGAGAGCCGGGGTTCACCTCTATAGATCTTGCTAAATTGAAACGAATGCAGAACTTCTGCAGTAAGGAGAAACCACTAGGCAGCTTTTGTTTCTAAGAATAGATAAAAATAGATTTGATGTTCCAATGAGTATCTTAGGATCCAATTAAAAACCAGAAAGAGATGTTTGCTTCATTTAAGTCTTAAGTGCACATTATTCTTCATTTCAAACAAAGCCCAGAATAAGCTGATGCAAAAATGTTAAAGAGATACCAACTCCTTTTCAGCTACATGCTGAACAAGAAGTGGCCCCTTTTCGCAGGAGTGTTATGCCCTCCGAGGACCATGAGAGGGCAGAGCAACACAACCCTTAGTTGCTATACATCTGGATCCAGGGAAGATCCAGCTCTGGCAGAGGAAGGGAGAGATGGAGGGAAGGGGGAAGCAGGCATCAGAGAATCAGAGTGACTCCAGCCCACCAGGCGGAGCTAGTTGGGGGCTGTTGGACAAGATAGCAGCCGGGAGAGCTTGGGTCGTGCTGCTTAGTCAGGTCCCCAACTGGAACTGGGGTGCTGCCTTGTTACCAGGGGTGCTGAGAATGCCTCAACACCCACACAGTGAACAAAGTAGAAATTCCTGGGAACAAATTACTCCATTTAGTCACCTTGTAGAAACTGTGAATAGAAGCCAGAAAACGGCCAAACATTGACAAATAAGAACTGACAGATTCCAGAACCTACAGAAGACAAGTGCAACAGTCAAAGTCCAGTTGCCTGGCTGGTGTGGTTCAGTGGTTGAGTGTCGACCTATGAACAAGGTCAGGGTTCGATTCCCAGTCAGGGCTCATGTCCAGGTTGCAGGCTCGATCCCCAGGAAGGGACGAGCAGGAGGCAGCCATTCAATGATTCTCTCTCATCATTGATGTCTCTCTCTCTCCCTGGCCCTTCCTCTCTCTGAAGTCAATTAAAAAAAAATATATATATATATATATATTTTAAAGTCCAGATGTCTGAACTTTTGTAATAAGGACAGTAACTGTGCACTTACATAAAGCATTCAAGTGCAGTTTCTGTCCTTATTACAATGCTTTAAATATGTCGTTTTCCTTGACCCTCTCAGTAGACCCAGAAATAGGGACTATGGTTACACACATTTACAGACAGAAAAGAACAGGCACATTGCCCCAGGCTACCCAGCTGGGAAGTGGTGGGGCTATGATTTGACCTGGGCACTGGGTGGAGCCAAAGCTGGTGGACTCGGCCTTTACGTCATGCATTGTCTTCCGGAACCAAAATGGACCCATGAGCAAGTCAGAGCAGGTTGGCCCCGAGTCCATTAGCACCCCTTGAACCAGAATTATTCTGAATTCTGGCAGAGCCCACAACTGAGCCTCCAGGGAAACGGGATGAAGATCTGGGGTCTGTCCGAATTACAGACACCAAAGCAGTGAGATAAGGATACCTGTGGTGGCGGGGGAGACATTGAGGAGGAGCAGGCTCCATGGCTTCAGCCTTGAACCTGGGGAGCTATGGGAACCAGTGACCATTTTTTGAGCACCTACTATGAGACCTCACTGCAGGGCATTTTTCAGAGGACTGTGGTCAGAGGGATTGCTAGGCCCACTAAGCAATGGGATGGAAACCAGCCTCGGAGACAGCGCCTACACCGACAGCTACTAGGTCGCTTTATGATGATGTCACCTGGGCAAGGGGCAGGGCTCTCCTGAAGGATGTGAATACCCAACGCTAAGATCAGCTGAGTAACCTTTTTTTTGTTGCCTCCAAACCTGGCCACTGATATTGACTCCTGTTCTACTGTGATCGTTGTGCTAAGGACAACACTCGGCAGTCTAATCATCCCTCAGAGAAAGTGGGAGCCAGGCCTTCTGCTGCTAGGAGCTGTAGGGTAAGTGTGAGAAGCAAGAAATGAGGGGTTTCCTGCAACATTCATGAGGTAGGGGAATTCTGGCTCAGCGCATCCTAAGCTCTTTCCTTAGTGATTTGGACTGAGGCACAGGGAAGGAGGACCCATCCATCCATATCCATCCACCCCAGTCTGTTCAAGCTGCTATGAAATACCACTGGGTGGCTTATAAGTAGCAGAAACTTCTTGCTTACAGCTCTAGAGGTCAAGGTGCAGCATGGTCAGGTGACGGCCTCTCCTGGATTGCAAACTTCTTGTATTCTCACATGGTGAAATGGGGGAGAGCTGTTGGGGTCTCTTTGATAGGGCACTAATCCCATTCATGGGAGTCCACTCTTATGACCTAATCACCGCCCAAAGGTCCTACCCATTAACAACAACACCTCTGGGGGTTAGAATTTCCACATGTAAATTTTTTTTTTGGAGGGGGGGACACAAACACACAAACCATAGCACCATCCACATCCACTCACCTTCTCCATGGCACGCCTGCTACAGAGCAGCTGCGATCTTGGAGCCTGGGGGCAACTAACAGGGGTGGAAACTCTAGTACAGAAGTGGTTACAGACACTGGAAGGGCATGGGGCATTGGCAAACCCAATCACCACCATGAGGACTTCTGTCTTTAAAAAGGGGCCCAAAAGGATGCCAGGAATGATGACCAGAATCCTGTGGGCACATCCCCAGTAGGGGGTATGCAGGAGGCAGCTGATTGATGTTTCTCTCTCATCAATGTTTCTAACTCTCCCTGCAAGTAACACTAGAGCCCAAGGGCTTTCAGGATTAGCTCAAAGCAATGCAAAGCAGCATGAGACAGCTTCGACCGGGATTCAGAAAAAAGCAAAAGTTCTCGTAGTGACCACCGCCATGCTGTCTATCACATGCAGAACATGACAGGGAAGGACAGGGGACAGTTGTGGGAGATGAAAAGCAAGGAAGGCAAGGTGACCTCTCTGCCCGAAGACAGCACCAACACTGCGAACACAGACATGCAGACACACACACCTGCCCTCCATCCTGTAACCATGGTATCATTGCTCTCTATATCTCTGATGAAGGGCACATACTAAGGCTTCTTCATGGAGCCCCCAAACATGCCAACGGGTGGCTGGGGACCAAAGGCGCAGCTGACGTTTCAGAGCTGATTCTAGCTTATGAGGTCTCAGATCTCAAAGACAACCACCACACGATATTAAATATGTTTAATGCTTTGCAGAACGAACATGTTCTTTACTACTAAGTTCATTATGAACTTGAATCACCAAAAATTTGAAGTCCATAATTGATTTTAAGCCCTAAGCGACACCACCTTTGGTGTTCAGTGATTTAACTTAGTAAACTCATGAACCTTTCCATACATTTGCAATCTCCAAAATATAACTATTATATGTTAAACATAAGTCATAGCATAGCCCTCTATCCCTTTGCCCTGAGTGGAGAGCAGTGGCCCAGGTCACCATGGCTGAATTATGTCCTAAGCTTGAAGAAAAATCTGTCCTCACCGCAGCCATGTGCCTGCATCCTTGTGAGGCGGATTGATCCACCTGGGATGACAGCCGGCAGAGGCTCCAAAGCGTTCTGAAGCCACAGGGGCCACAGCACCGACCCTGGGCAGGGAGCCAGGCCAAAGGCAACAAGAGAATCTTTGGGAGAAAGCACTGCATCCCCGCCCCGTCTGTGTCCACCTGTACCCGCCACTGTCTCAGCCAGGGCCCGCGCCTTTCCTTGCTTCGTGGAAGCCAGGGCCCGGCCTGCCAGTATAACCCTGCTGTGGGCAAGAGAACACAGTGTCACTTTGCTTTACTAAGAATTCCCTTTTGATACATCATCACCACCACCACCCGATCCACCCAGAAAATTATCCTCTTCCGAGCCGGGGCGTTACGTCTGCGTCAGGCAAGGTTTAAAGTTTGCTGTTCTTCTGGAACTGGGCCACCAGGCTGAGGACCTGCTCGGAAGCCTTGATGTTCTTTGAGCCAAGGTAGCTGATGCTGTTGGTGGCCGTCTCCTCCAGGAAGTACCGGTAGTTGACCATCATGCCACACGAGCCAGTGATGCCCTTGGAGCTGTGGTCTGCCATCCAGTTGATGCGCCACATCACAGCCCCGTTCTGCAGGTGGAAGTTTGCCACGGGGTTCAGGGCGTAGCCCCGGTGCTTCTCTCCGTACAGGTACCAGGCGCAGAGCCTCATCAGGGGGCCCTGCAGTGCCTCGACCAGCTTTTCAGACGTCACCCATTCGTTACTGCTGAGGAGGGCCTTGAGGGTCTCATTAAGGGGACTCCCTGTGATCTCAGAGATTTCTTTACACTCAGAATCTGTAAATAATTCATTCCTCCCATGATCCTTTGCTTGTGAGTTCAGAAGTCCCAGGAGCCATTTGGTGAAGCCAGGTATAGGAGACAGACTTGAAAACGTCCCAAGGTGAGGAAACTCTTTCTGTAAGGCACGGTAGGGTGGGGAGAGGAGGTGGAGAGAACACACACACACAAAGAGAATTCAGCAGGTGTGTCACCCACCCAGAAGCATCTGTCCGCTTAGCATTTATGTATCACTAACCTGGGGATGCTGTGTGGCTTACAAAGTGATGTTTGATGGGCATTGACTTTCTTCTTTCAAGGAATTTTATGAATCTGGTGTGGGCCAGGCCCCGGAGGCATCCTGAGCCCCCAGGGAAACCTTTAGGCGGTGTCTCCATCTGCACCATGGAGAGGATGGCAAGTCAGGGAACCGCGGGAAACCAGAGCCATGCTGCGAAGTGGGACCTGGTGTGCAGTCTTCTGACTGCAGAGTGTCTTTCTGGCATCCATTCTCCACCCACAGACAGCTGTGCAGCCACACAATCTGGTTCGGTGGTTGGCACGCAGTACCCAGTGACTGATGGATAAATAACTGATTTCCCAGCTATACCACAGCGGGTACAGAGGATGGGATAGAAGGGGAGGCAATAGGCCTTTTCCACATCAGCCAATATAGGTCAATCATTATTATTCAAATTACAGAGATCTCAATGATCATTTTTAAAAATCCAGTATTTTTGGTTTATAAATGTAACATATATGCTCACTATAGAAAATTTTTAAAGATTTCTGACAGAAGCAAAGAAAACCATAATACTCTTCTACTCTGAGATAACCACTCTCAATAGTCTGATAAAGTATAACTCCTGGTCTTTCTCTAGGCAATTTTTACATTGGTGAGACTGTTATTTTAGATCCTATATTATGACCATTTTCTCATTATCATTCAATTCAAAAACAATTTAAACAACAGAATATCAAAAGATGAGACTATAGCATTACTTTCTAACCACGCTGTCACCGGGCACGTAAGTGTCTTAGTGTTTGCTAGGAAGTCCTGATGAGCACGCCTGCACAGGAGGGAATGCTTCCCTGAGATCCTTTCTGATGACTCTCCGGCGCACAGCCAAGTGGTGGTTGAGAGACTAACTCTGAGGGGCTAACTCTGACTGAGAAACAGAGCCTATGGGTGAATCCCCAGGACCCCGGATTCGCCCCCTTTGATCACCTGTCTTACAAAGTCACCCTCTTCCTGCCCCATTCATTTACATCTTCAGCAAAGAAGAAAGAAATAAGAAGCTGATATTAATTAGATGTGGCTTCTTACCACCTTTGGGGAAAAGAGGCAGAGTGATTCTAATGAAGCTGATATGCATCTGAATCCTCAGATTTAGAAATGATTATGAATTTAATATGAAGCACATACACATTTTAATTCCACCCCATCTCTAAGGAAGAACCTGAGTTGCAGTTGTGTTGAAACTACCAAAAGCAGAGAACATCACTCTCAGAGCCAGTTATTAACAGTCTAATTATTTTACCTTGCTCCTTATGAGATAGTTTTAAAAAGCCTAGGTGCAGAGTGAACCTGAATACTGCTGTTGCAGGATGTTAAAGTGTTCTTCCCAGGGCAATAAAGGAAGATATACACACACACACAGTATGTGTAGGTGTATGTGTATGTGTATGTGTCTGTGTATGTGTATGTGTATGTGTATGTGTATGTATATGTATATGTGTATGTATTTTAAAAAGCCAGTCTTTTGTAAGCTGGTATAACCTCAACACTCCCTCTAATGATGAGAAAGCCCAAGCTGATGAAACATTAGGGGTCAGAAGCCTGGAGAGTGGGTGAGGGTGGCTGGGCACAGAGGTATGGCTAGAATGACCATAAAATGCATCATCCAAACAGGGACCGTTGAGAATGGAAGACGGCATTCCTATTGATTATGCTGCGACAACACTTGCAAATCAGAATCCAAGGTCCCGAGAAGCTGATGTCCTCAGAACACATCTGCATTTGTGGCCAAGGGAGAAGCTCGTTTCCTGACGCCATTTTCTCCTCCCCTGAGTGGTCTCAGGCTCCTGGGAAGTGCCTCCGGCACTTGTCTAAACCCTCTTCCTTACCCCCAGCTCCTATCTTATCCCTTGCCCATCACCAATCCTAGGACCTGGTTACTGCCTGCACTGCAGAGGGGCACGGGGCTCGGACCCGGTGGTCCCACAGCGGCGCCTCACTCACCTGCAGCTCCTTCACCACGCGCTTTATGAGGAAGGTCCCCAGCTCTACCCCCTGCAGGCCTTGCTGGGTCAGACTGATGGAATAAAATATGGCGGCGGCGACTTTGTTCTTCTCCTCTGTTTCTGTCGGAGGACACTCCTTCACTATTGACTGCAAGACAGGAATGATGGCGGTGAGCGGGCTTGGCTGCTCTCACATCCTGCATCTCACCCGTTCACTTCCGGCCATGAGACATTCTCTCAGGATGTCCCTCGCAAGGACCAGGCTCTGGAGACTAAACACTGAAATCTGACCTGGCCTCTCCCTGAAGGTGGCAACTGCAGGCTTCCCTGGGTCGTGTGCTCAATGTCATGTCATTTCGCTCAATTAGAAAGTCTCGTGCAAACTTTGAATAGCAATTTATGTCCTTTTTGTCCTTTTCAGGCCGTCGTGCAAACTGAAATGTGATTAATCTGCTCCCCTTCAACACCCAGAGAAAACACCTGACCCTTTGTCTACGCCGCCTGCGCCTTTCTATAAGGCCTGATTCTGATTGTTCTCCCCTTTAGTTATTTGTACTCCTTTCTCTGATCTAGTGTTTTTGATTTCTCAAGAAACCAGTGAATGTTATATACTTTTTCTTTTAGGAAATTTACCTTTTCCTGACTTTTCTAGGTACCTTTTAAATATATATCTATTTTATTGATTTCTGAGAGGAGAGAGAGAGAAACATCAAGGATGAGAGATAATCATTGATTGGCTGCCTCCTGCACACACTCAACTGGGGACTGAACCAGTAACCGGGTATGTGCTCTTGACCAAAATTGAACCCAGGATCTTTCAGTTCGAAGGTAGATAGATGCTCTATCCACTGAGCTGAACCTGCTAGGGCTATGCACCTTTTTTATTTTGTGCCACATTCTTGTTTTTCCTTGAAGCAATCTGAGATATGACTTGCCAAGGCTGATTTTATTAGCTTTGAGCTTTGACTGCGGGGTTTTTTGAACTTATTTTTAATATTAATAATATTGATTGAGCATTTGCTCAGTGTCTGTCAGCCCTTTGTCTGCGGGATATTCTGCAGGTCACTAGACAATAGTGGAATAGCGGGTGGTTACCTTTTAGTTTGCTTTGATGACAGCACCAGCTTGCTTCTGAACACAGTTACACTAACTTCCATCAGCTACATGTGACTCCTGAAGTTGGGGGTGGCTGACCTAGAGCCCATGATGAGGCCTGGGAGTCCACAAACTTTCTGAAATTGTGGTTGGAGTGTGCAGGTTTGCTCTATGTCCCTGGGGAAATGTGCTTAGCTTTCACCCCCTTCAGATGCTCAGTCTTTTCTGTGACTCCTGAAAAGGTAAGACCTGCTGCCGTGGGGAAGTGGGGTAGACAGGGGACAGAGGCAGCGGCACCTCCTGGGCTGCGCCCAGGCCGCTCCCCTGCTCCTGTGCTTCAAAGGTCAGACCTCACTTCCCATCGTTAACCTTCATCCTGGTCATTTATTTACTTTGCTTTTCAGGAACTCTGTAGGTTACCTTGTGGTTCCTTATTCAAAAATTTCCAGCAAAACCTTTTTTAAAGTTTTCAAAATAAAAGTGAGATCTTTTTTTGGTTATATAAATGAGATACACATAAAGTGCAAGAAGCAAAAATAAGCGCACAAAGAAGGAATCACAAATTACTCCAAAACCTAACACCAAGTCCTGCCATTAGCCATTTGATGAATAGACTTTTCCAGGTCTGTCTCCTTGGCTATAGGTAGGTATACACAAATCTGTATACACGTAATTCTTTCACAGGCTCAGATGCTCAATTACACTTACTTACACAAACAAACACACACACACACACACACACACACACACACACACACACACACACACACACGGTGGCTGCCCTAAGGGCTTGGGCTAGAACCCCAATTCCCACCCTTAACTATTCTATTATCACAGGCAAATGACTAAAGTTCTCCTTAAGCTCTGTTTTCTCAGATCTAAAATAAGGACAATCGTTAATAATACTAGGAATACCTAACTCACAGAGTGCTGTGAGCAGTAATGCATGGATCGTGCTTCAAAGGCTGACAGACACTGAGCAAATGCTCAATCAATATTATTAATATTAAAAATAAGATCAGCCCAAACCGGTTTGGCTCAGTGGATAAAGCGTCAGCCTGTGGACTGAAAGGTCCCGGATTCGATTCCGGTCAAGGGCATGTACCTTGGTTGCGGGCACAACCCCAGTAGGGAGTGTGCAAGAGGCAGCTGATCAATGATTCTCTCTCATTGATGTTTCTAACTCTCTGTCCCTCTCTCTTCCTCTTTGTAAAAAAATCAATAAAATATATTTAAAAAAAATAAGATCATACTACACATGATATATTCTGTAACCTGGTTTTCTATGCACTAGTTTGTCAATGTTGGCTTTTCATATCAAAAACAAAAACTAAATCAGTACCTAAATACACTCTTCTGCCCCCATGCGCCTGCAGGAATGTCCCATGCACGTGAGGATGTACCAGATGGATATGCCATCATTTCTCTAACGCACCTTCCACAGGTGGACCGGTCATCATTCCCCGCCTTTCAACGCTGTAGACAATGCCGGAACCACCTGCACTCTTCGATCTGAGTATCTCCCCAGGATAAATTCCTGACTGACATTTTTTTTTTTCTTTCAGGAAGATAGTTTCAAAGTTTATTTAAAAAGAATCCCGAGATCTCTTCCCCAATTTCCTGATATGAGGCAACTGCCCCTCACCCAGGGAAAGACTGGAGTTTTATTCTTTTACTGGGAAGTTTTATTTTTAAAAAGTTTTTCTTTATTGACTTAAGGTATTACATACCTTATCCTCCCATTACTCCCTCCCCCCCCCCACTCATACCCTCACCCCCTTGGTGTCTGTGTCCGTTGATTAGGCTTATATGCATGCATACAAATCCTTTGATTGATAGAGAGTGATATTCTTTAGATCAAAGGAATGCACGTTTTATATTTTAATAGATATCAACAAACTGTCCTCAGAGAGGTAGTAATAATTCTGGTATGAGAATATGCCAACTCTTTCAAACACAAAATCCTAAGGGACTTCTCCCTGGTGATAAATTATACCAGCTCATTTGCCTGCTAGATTTCTCTACCTTCTTTTTTTTTTTTTTTTTTTTTTTTTTTTTTTTTTTAAATCAATCTTTATTGTTCATATTATTACAAAGGTTCCTCATTTCTTCCCCCCTCCACCAGGTTCCCACCCCACCCTCCGTCCCCCCCCCCATCCCCCATTGTCCTCATCCATAGGTGCAGTTTATGTTCAGTCTCTTCTTCCCTCAATTTCCCCAATAGTAAATCCCTTTTCAGATAGTAAATCAGTTACTTAGCATTTTCTCATATCAATAATACCTCCACATGCCCAATGATACACTTCACACAAAAGACATTTCCCACTAGGTCAACCAGCCTCATCCAGGCCCCACCCAAGGCACTCACAGATCAACACCCCAGTCCTAAACTAACTCAACACATCCAGATCTAAGCCTTCATCACTTGATTCAGCAGACCCTCAAGTTCCCGCGAAAGTTTCCAGCCATGTCTGAGAAGCAGCCGTGGGGCAGGGGCAGGCAAGGAGCGAGCTGTTCTGGGCCTGGCTGCTCAGGGCCTGGCCTCTGTTGCTCTGGTTCATTCCACAACCAGCTGCTCCGGGTCTGGTCACTGCCGCTCCCGACCTAGTTGCTCTGGACTTGGCTGCTGCTGCTCCGGGCCTGGCCGCTCCCAGCCTGGCAGCCGCTGCTCCGGGCCTGGCCGCACCCGACCCGCCTGCTCCCCCGGGCCTGGCCGCTCCCAGCCTGGCAGCCGCTGCTCCGGGCCTGGCCGCACCCGACCCGCCTGCTCCCCCGGGCCTGGCCGCTCCCAGCCTGGCAGCCGCTGCTCCGGGCCTGGCCGCACCAGCCCCGCCTGCTCCCCCGGGCCTGGCCGCTCCCAGCCTGGCAGCCGCTGCTCCGGGCCTGGCCGCACCAGCCCCGCCTGCTCCCCCGGGCCTGGCCGCTCCCAGCCTGGCAGCCGCTGCTCCGGGCCTGGCCGCTCCAGCCCCGCCTGCTCCCCCGGGCCTGGCCGCTCCCAGCCTGGCAGCCGCTGCTCCGGGCCTGGCCGCACCCGACCCGGCTGCTCCCCCGGGCCTGGCCGCTCCCAGCCTGGCAGCCGCTGCTCCGGGCCTGGCCGCACCCGACCCGCCTGCTCCCCCGGGCCTGGCCGCTCCCAGCCTGGCAGCCGCTGCTCCGGGCCTGGCCGCACCCGACCCGCCTGCTCCCCCGGGCCTGGCCGCTCCCAGCCTGGCAGCCGCTGCTCCGGGCCTGGCCGCACCCGACCCGCCTGCTCCCCCGGGCCTGGCCGCTCCCAGCCTGGCAGCCGCTGCTCCGGGCCTGGCCGCACCCGACCCGCCTGCTCCCCCGGGCCTGGCCGCTCCCAGCCTGGCAGCCTCTGCTCCGGGCCTGGCCGCACCAGCCCCGCCTGCTCCCCCGGGCCTGGCCGCTCCCAGCCTGGCAGCCGCTGCTCCGGGCCTGGCCGCACCCGACCCGCCTGCTCCCCCGGGCCTGGCCGCTCCCAGCCTGGCAGCCGCTGCTCCGGGCCTGGCCGCACCAGCCCCGCCTGCTCCCCCGGGCCTGGCCGCTCCCAGCCTGGCAGCCGCTGCTCCGGGCCTGGCCGCACCAGCCCCGCCTGCTCCCCCGGGCCTGGCCGCTCCCAGCCTGGCAGCCGCTGCTCCGGGCCTGGCCGCACCAGCCCCGCCTGCTCCCCCGGGCCTGGCCGCTCCCAGCCTGGCAGCCGCTGCTCCGGGCCTGGCCGCACCAGCCCCGCCTGCTCCCCCGGGCCTGGCCGCTCCCAGCCTGGCAGCCGCTGCTCCGGGCCTGGCCGCACCAGCCCCGCCTGCTCCCCCGGGCCTGGCCGCTCCCAGCCTGGCAGCCGCTGCTCCGGGCCTGGCCGCACCCGACCCGGCTGCTCCCCCGGGCCTGGCCGCTCCCAGCCTGGCAGCCGCTGCTCCGGGCCTGGCCGCACCCGACCCGCCTGCTCCCCCGGGCCTGGCCGCTCCCAGCCTGGCAGCCGCTGCTCCGGGCCTGGCCGCACCAGCCACGCCTGCTCCCCCGGGCCTGGCCGCTCCCAGCCTGGCAGCCGCTGCTCCGGGCCTGGCCGCACCAGCCCCGCCTGCTCCCCCGGGCCTGGCCGCTCCCAGCCTGGCAGCCGCTGCTCCGGGCCTGGCCGCACCCGACCCGCCTGCTCCCCCGGGCCTGGCCGCTCCCAGCCTGGCAGCCGCTGCTCCGGGCCTGGCCGCACCCGACCCGCCTGCTCCCCCGGGCCTGGCCGCTCCCAGCCTGGCAGCCGCTGCTCCGGGCCTGGCCGCACCCGACCCGGCTGCTCCCCCGGGCCTGGCCGCTCCCAGCCTGGCAGCCGCTGCTCCGGGCCTGGCCGCACCAGCCCCGCCTGCTCCCCCGGGCCTGGCCGCTCCCAGCCTGGCAGCCGCTGCTCCGGGCCTGGCCGCACCCGACCCGCCTGCTCCCCCGGGCCTGGCCGCTCCCAGCCTGGCAGCTGCTGCTCCGGGCCTGGCCGCACCTGACCCGGCTGCTCTGGGCCCGGCTGCCCCGGGCCCGGCCGCTCCGAGCCTGGCCACTCCTGACCTGGATGCTCTGGGCTTGGCTACTGCTGTTCTGGGTCTGGCTGCTCCCACCCCGGCTGCTCTGGGCCCGGCTTCTTCGGGCCCGGCCACTCCGGGTCTGGGTGTTCCTGGACTGGCCACCCTGGGCTTGGCCGCCTCCGCCTCATGCCTGGCTGCCACTGCCCCAGGTCTGGCTACTCCAGTGCTGGCTGTTGATGCTCTGGTTCTGGCTGCTGTTGTTCTGGGGCCTGGCCGTTGCTGCTCCAGGTCTGGCTGCCTCTGCCTTGTGCCTGGCCACTCTAGGCCTGGCCGTCGCTGTTCCAACATTCTGTCCTTTTTTTTTCTTTTTAAAACGCATTTATGTTGCAATGTTGGCTGGTGAGTTGAGTTCTGACTTAGTCTTTGATTTTTCAAGATCTTCTTTGTATTCTTTCTTAAGTAATTTTACTATTTTTTGCTCTCACTTGATTTCTTCACATTGAGAACTTCTTTGGTTTCTTCCTCCTTGTCCTGGGAGCTCAGCAGGTTGGCCTGTGGCACCCCTTTGTTCTCCGCGGGCTCCTGTGCTGCTTCAGCCTGTTGCCGGGACGGCGCCGCCCAGGAAGCAGCCCCCGGCCTTGGCTCCATTGCCCGAGCTCAGTGGTCAAAGGCTCAGGGGCACCCACGCCCCCAGGGGCCCCGTGGCCCGCCTCCTTGCTGGTGCCCGGTTGGCTGGAGTCTGGCAGGGGCTTCCGCTCCCCTCCACGTTCCCCCAGCCTAGAGCTTTTTTTTTCTCCTTCCCGCTAGGGGAGTCCAGCATCAGAGTCAATAGATTGTCCTCTGCGCGCAGTTTGCGCGAGTCCCACAGACTGTCCTCTGCGCACAGTTTGCGAGAGTCCCGGGGGCCCGGCCTTTCGCCGCTCTCCCCGGACTCCACCTCACAGCCCCGTCTCCCTCTGCCTGAGCCTGGGTCCCCAGGGATTGGCCCAGAACTGGGGTTCGGAGCAGTCCGGACTGAGGCTGAGCGCCGCCGGAGGCCTTGTTTCTTCCGGCTAGGGCAACCCAGCATCAGAGTCAACATTCAGTCCTCTGCGCGCATTGCGCGCGACTCCCGGGGCCCTGCCTTTCGCCGTTTTTCCGCCTCACGGCCCCATCTCCTCCCGCCGGAGCCTGGGTCCCCAGGGTCTGGCCCATAACTGGGGCTCAGCGCTGCCGGTTCGGGGGGGCTCAGCGCTGCCGGTTCGGGGGTCCAGCCCAGGCTGGGGGTTTTATTTCCTTCCTGCTAGGGAAGGAAAGGCGGCTCCCCGCCCTCTCCTCCTCTCCGGCTGCGACCTCTCCGTGCGCGCATGCGGGCGGGCAGGCGCGCGCAGCATGTCTCCGTACCTTAGGCTTTTTTTCAGCTCCTCTGATTTTCTTTCTGGTTTTCTCTTTCCTTCTTGTTGTAGAAATTTCAGTCAGTCGACTACCTGTAGCTCTGGGCAATGTCCACTCTACATTTTAGTTGTATTCCATTGAAATTGTTGTGTGCTGCCGCGGCTAGATGTCTACCCGAGCAGCCATCTTGGATCCTCCTTGGAGCTCTCTCCAGATTTCTCTACCTTCTGATACTAGAAATGCCACCCAGAGAACCCATCCTGTGACCTGGTATCATCTCTCCAGCTTTCAAACAGGCCATTCCCATGCCAAAGCCTTTGCCTACCACAGCCTCCTGGTCTAAGCAAACTCGCTGTAACCCAGGTGTCCCTACCTTCCCTCACCTATCTTCACCTTCACGGAGATCTGCTCTATTCCCAGTTTCCATGTGTCTGCAGGAATGTCTCAGACATTCTCGTCCACTCCTTAAGGAAAAGCCAAGCTTGCCACAGGCAGGGCCTGTAAAACGCGGTCCCCATCACCTCCATTTGATGAACAGACCTGGCAGGGCTCTGCGCCTGTAACAGGCACACAGCACTGTCTCTTTTTCAATCACATGTTGTTTAAAACTGCCCACAGGCACTTAACAAATGCTGAAAAGATGCACCATGCCCCCTCCTTCTCTTCTGCCCTCCCTCACAACTCTGTTCCGCCTCATGAAGATGTTCTATAATAGACTTCAACCCTGTCTCAACTCAAAGTCAGTAGACCCCGATGAATGCTCTCATTCCAAAACTGTCTACATACTACCCATCTGCATTCTGTAGCTACAAAATTAGAGGTTTTATCCAGCCAATTAAAAAATCCACAAAAGCCTAAAGCTTCAGAAAAAAAGGCATAAAGCCAAGTTTAAAAACCTTAAGCGCTCTGCAGGATGCCTGCCTGGCCCTGGATTTACCAGCCGCGGGTACCTGAATATTGGTGGAGATGTCACTGGTCAGCGCCACGTGCAGGACCACCAGTGGCTCCTCGGGGGTGGAGCAGTGAGAAAAGAAGTAGCATCTTCTGTACGGTCCGACCCGCTGTTTTATATCCATCCAATTTTTTACAGGGTGCACAGCCTCAGACCTGATAAGATTGCAATGAGGTAAGACAAATGTTCAATTACAAGTTAAATAACCATTGCTGATTCTGATTCAGATTACTCACTGAAGTCAAATAAATCCTTTAAATACAGCTTCAATTGCCTCTTCAGGAAAATGTAAAGAAAATTATTTTAACGTGAAACAGCAGACTAAAAGGAACTGCAATTAATGACCACCTTACACACAAAACTGTGCTCTAATTTTTAATCTCCGGGCCTAAGACTAGTTTGCGAGGCCCTTGGCAAGCAGTTATGCAGCAGATTGTAATGCAGGAACTAACCAGTGCCCAGGTGTTGAACATTCTATGTCTTTTATTTCCTTTGAATCTGCAGTTTGAAGTCAGTGCTGCAAACACGGGTCTCTTGGTTCCGTCTGACTAGCCACCTCAGCCCCCCACTGTTCTGTTTTCAACATGTGCAATGGCAATAGGGTCTCGAGGTGGTTACACCTCAAATAGTACAGCATTTTCCAAACCTTAGATCATGTAAGACAGCAAAGTGTGAAGATCTTGAGGTGGGAAGAGCTGCCCGTTTGTGAGAACAACCATGACGTACTAGGCTGCATTTACTGTATCTTGGACATGTTGGAACTATGTTCAATATTGCTAACTTAGAGATTTTATCCAAAGGAGACATTTAAACGATGAGATAGATGCTGTTTGGATTAATGCAAATACTCGGTCCAGTGAATTCATACAGCTGATAATGGGAACCTGGGAAAAGGGGGCCCATGTGCTTAAATATGAGGACATAAATGAGACCCTGCATGTCACCTGCGGGGACAGCCACAACATCTGTGTTTGGGTTCTATAGGGCTGGGAGAAAATGCACATGTGAATGGAGACTGGCTTTCAGCTGAGATATAAGACACGTGACAAGCTGAGTACTTACTCACTGATTTTCTGAAGCACTTCACACGGCGAATGCCAGGTCACCCGTTCCAGGTTTAGGAATCCCGAAGAAAACCACTCGGTGAGCATGCCTTTCAGCACACCGTTCATTTCCTAGAAAGAAGAGAAAGCGTCAGCTTTTCCAAGCCCATCTCTGCATTGTCACCAGCACAGTGAATTAAAACACGAAAACGTGAGCTCGAAAGAGACTGCAAGAAGCTTCTCTAAACAGCCGTTTCTGAGACGGCGCTACTGCACTCTGACCTCAACCAGTTACACCCAATGCAGCGCTTCATTCAGCCTCCAGCACTTCCACCTGTAAGATACCTGTACGGAGCAGTCAACTCAAATTAACTTTCCCACAGCAAATAATAGGTTCCAATTCATTCCCCGTAGCGAACACAACTAAAACCAGTTAACAGAACAGTGAGCGGTGTGCCGTAAAGGAGGCACTAACGCAGGCAGCACAGAGCTCCAGTCCCGTCCCCTCAGGAAGTTTCTGATAAGCCAAAGCATCATTCCTCGTTTCCTGGGAGAAGCAGGCACTGGGTCCAGGTACCGTATTTCATCAACTCTAAGATGTGCATGTTCGTACTTTAACATCTCTCAAGTCAGGATGCATCTTTCAAAAGATGGCAGGGCACAATTTAACTGATAGCATTTTCCCCTTAATGGGACATAAAATATTGTATCTGACAATCAATGCATTCAGATTTGATGAAATTATTCTAATTTAACTTCACTTACTTATATCCAATCTATTACTGAAAACTGTTTGAGTCAATTTTATTACTGAAGATAATTTTCACTGAAATCTTCCAAGCAGGATTGGGACAAGAGGTGCATAAGGACAGGACAGCACAGACCCATCTCCATTTAGCCTGCTGAGACCACACAGAACGTGTAACAGCAGTACGTTTTCTATAGCCGAGTGGTGAGGGGCGGGGGTAAATCTAGGACCAAGTGGGGGAGACACAGAGTCAGATTCAAACAGAATTTAAAGAGCTTTTGAATAGCTAGGGCTGTCCAGTCACATGTCCTCCCAGGAGAGTGTGCATTTCCCCACGGAAGTGACCATGCACAGGGCTGACAACATGATGGATGGAGCTGTTTTAAAAAGGATGTAAGCATCCTTTTTAAAAAGGATGTTTTAAAAAGGTTGGGTGGCTCAATTGGTTGGAGTGTCATCCCATATACCAAAGGTTGCGGGTTCGATTTTTGGTCAGGGCCTATACCTAGGTTTCTGGTTCAATCCTAGGTCAGGGTGCATATAGGAGGCAACCAATCAATGTCCCCCCCCCCCCCCCCCTCTCTCAAAATCAAGAAACATATTCTCAGGTGAGAATTAAAAAGAAAAAAACACTTAGCCCAGCTGGCATGGCTCAGTGGTTAGCACTGACCTATGAACCAGAAGGTCACGATTCTATTCCTAGTTGTGGCATCTGCCTAAGTTTTGGGCCCGATCCCCAGTGTGGGGTGTGCAGGAGAGATCAATGATTTTCTCTCATCATTAATGTTTCTCTCTCTCTCTCCCTTCCTCTCTGAAATTAATACAAAAAATATTTTAAAAATAAAAAAGGTCCTCACATTCTCTTAAGCATGTGATAAAATCCAGGAACTCTTTCCCCAGAAAAATGCACATACATTAATGAAATTTTGCATACAATTTCCTGGGGTTCACAGACCTTTTGAAACGCAACTATGGATCATCCCCAGGGGTTCATGGATCCAGGTTAGGAACCTCTGCACTAAATGGTTAGAAGTGGATTAGTCCAGTTCCATGTAAAATGTACTGGCATCTCTATTACATTCATAACAGAAAAAACTGAATCTAGTTTCAGTATTAATGCAGAAATAATTATTAAAGAAATTGTTTGACTGATGAAAGCTCCTCATCTAAAAGTCTCTTCATTCTATTTTGGGCTATTGACAGCTATAAAATGTGACACTGGTCACAAGAACCGGGAATCTGGGTTAAAGGTTACATGTCTCTGCTTAGTTCTGACAGCACAAGAAGCTGTTCAGGCTGGGACGAGCCACCCCTGCAGCAAGGCCACTGGGTCCCAGAAAGCAGGCGGGAAAGAAATCGCTGCTGCAGAAATCTGCTCATTAATCCTGCAATCGTGTAGCAACAATCCAAGACTGAGAAATGCAGCTGCTGGGACTCCCGTGGCGATGCCACAGTCAGCGTTGGGTCTGTCTTTTCTGGCCTGCCAATTCTAGTTATCCCGGACGACTGTTCAGAAGGCCAGCCAACTCTTTCAGCAGAGAAGAGCTGTCTCCCCACTCTCCTCTGAAGTCTTTGGCTGTACAGGTCTCATTTTTGATATGTGAAGAAGAGTTACTTTCCACGGCTCAGAAGCCCCAAGGGGAGGGAGATAAAAGCTATGAGGAAGGGTCAGAGTGCTGAAGTTACATTTTAGGTACAATTCCAACTCATGCAGCTGCTACACTCCAGATGGCTGGGGCCCACTTTCCTACCTAAAAATAAGGCTTTTTTTTTTTTTTTAAAGCCTAGTTAAGCACAGAATTTAGCAGAATCAACAAGGAGCACTATACTCACTTAAAGCAGGACATGCCACCAAAAACGTATGACAGTGCCTACCAGGGCTGGGCATTGCAACAATGAGGATGCGAAGCGTGTCTGACCCACCGTTAGTTCTTCTCTTATGTTCCACTTATGTGCACCTCTCATTTCACCATAATTTCCATGTTTAAATCACCCATCAAGAAACCCTTTCATTTTCTAAATGTCAACTTCAATCTAGCGCCCACAGACTGCTGAACAGCACTCAGACCTCCTGCTATAATGGGGTTCGGTTCAGTTTCATTGGGGATTTAATCTAAGAAATCTAACTCTTCAACCCAAATGGGCCTTTGGGAATGTTCCTGGGGAAAAACAAAAAGCCTAGAAACCAACACACAGAAACCACATACCACCCTCCCCTCCACATAACCCTTTCCCACCACGTTCCACACACACACACACACACACACACACACACACACACACACACCCCTCACAAGAAGGGCTGGGCACACACCTACTAATTTCCAGGATATTTTGTTCAGGAGGCATCCGTGTATTGCATCTGCCATGTCAAAAAAAACCCCAACATAGATATTTGTCTATGCCAGGTGGTAAAAACTTTCTTCAACATAGCACTTGTATCTTCTCAGCAGACTTGAAACTTACTCTGAACTTCTTATCAAAAAGGATTAAGATCCTCATGGGAGAGAAAAGAAACCTGTCTGCCTTAAACTGTCCAAGGAGATAGACAGAGGCTACTTGGCCTCATGCCTTTGGTCTCTATCCTGTGAGACACTCACTCGAAATGAAGTGTCAGTCTTCTGGATTCTCCCCACATTTCCAATAATCACACCCCTGGGTCAGAGCAGAGGTCTTAATAAACCTGCCCTCATTTACAAACCGTATTTTTAGCAAAGCTCCACCATATCCCTCAGGGCACTGCTTAGAAGAGAAGCAGGCTGACCTTGAGCATACCAACCACCAGCTGAATTTCTCACCTCACTGCAGAACCAAAGGGCCCAGGGAGTTAAGTGGCTTGGCTAAACTAAAGTCACATGAAATCGTGCCTCTAACCAGTGGATGGCAAAGACAGGATTGGGAACCTGCCTCTTGTCTCCCCACCCAGTGCTTCTTCCACTATACATGCTGTCTGGCTAAAGACACTGAGGATCAGACAGGTCCGGCCTCACACTGCTAGTTATTCTAAAGACTCCAGTAAATGAGAACTCATGCCGGCCATGCGGTGGACCAATCCACTCCAGAGTAAATGCTCAGGTCCACGCCCACATGGAGCAGTAGACCAGTGTGTTCACTCGACTTTACCTAGCAAGTCCCAAAGGCAGCAGGGGCCAGGCAGGTAGCATGGCTGTGTGCACACAGGAAGGGGTGCTGACAATTCTAGAGGAGTTCCCCACTCCCCAGTGTCATAGGCCCCTGGGGGGCTGGGACTCCTGCCCTTCAGCATCACATGCCAAAGGTATGGTGATTTCTAACACTGAGTCCCTAAAAGCGAGAAGTTCTAGCTCAATCCCTTCTTTAACTTGAATGCAAAAGGCTGACCTCTGGTTTTAGAGAAAGATGGGCACTGGGATTGCTGATAAGACAGATGCTTGCACCAAGGGAATCAAGATGGATACTAAGCGATTCTGGTGATAGATTACAATTTCAGATCCCAGATGACAATTGTTATAGATTAAAAAAAAACCTAATTCCTGAATGATTTCAATGATAGGGATTTAAAATTTTTTATGTAACTATGTAGTACAGCAAAGGAGAATGGAATCACCAGGTGTAGCCACTAACAGACATACTAGATATAAGGACAGGATATTTAGGTAGAGAAATGGAGGCATGACAGAAACTAGAACAGGCTTCTGCACCCAATGTGTCCAGAACACGTGCAGAGGCAAAGGTCAGGCTGTCATTATTTATCCTTTATTCTTGAAATACCTTTGTGCCAGCGGCATAGCTCAGTGGTCAGGGCACATGCCCGGGTTGTGGGCTTGATCCCCAGTGTGGAGGAGCATGCAAGAGGCAGCCGATCAATGATTCTCTCATCATTGATGTTTCTCTCTCTCCTTCTCAAATCAGTAGAAATACATATATATATATATTTTTTAAAAATATCTTTTTGCCTGTAGGTACACATTTCCCCCTCACCTGTGTGGACAGCTGGTTAAATAAATAAATAAATAAATAAAGCCTGAACACCTGAGGGCCTGATGCTCAAAGCCCTGGATTCCCGAGGGGGCAAACGCTTCTTTCAAGTCAAGTTTCAACGTCACAGCTTTCAGCCGCCACAGTGTTCCTTCTCCAGTGCAGGGTAACTAAGCGTTTTCCCGTGTGGCCAAGAGCAAGGGGACGCACTGAGCAATGTGTCAGAGAATCAGAGGATTAGAACTGGATGAGGCATTAGAAACCTCCCAGGGCCAACACTCGCTGCAATCTGCCAAGGGCAGTCCGAACGTCTGCTGTCTCTCTCCCTCTCTCCGCTGTGCAGAAACCTCCCAAGCCCTCTGGGCTTCCTTCCAGGATCAGAACTCAGTGAGTGGAGCCATCTGACAAGACGAATGGCAATCATTAGTGTGCTGACTCTGTCTCACGGGGGAGCACCCGGGAGTCTATCTCAATGCTTCATTCATCACTTTGCTATGCAAGAAATTTAAGTTTCCAGTTTTCAAGGAGCTGGTTATCTAGAGGAAGTAATACATTCCCAACACTAAATTCTGTGGCTGATGTACAAAATCCAAGTGAGGGGTGCAATAGTGTCAGGAAGCTCAAAACTGGGTGAGACCACTTTGAGCTGGAGTGGCTAGAAAAGCTGAGTGAATGAGCTAAGGATGGAGCAGCTCCTTTGCTACCAGGCCTCCCAAGCAGGAATCACACTGGGATGTGGGTTCAGGAACTTCCCATCCAACAACCAGAATGGCTGGAGAGGAGAGTAATGGAGAGCCAAGATGGAAATGTTGTCCAGGAAGGTCTGTTGTGCATCATAACTGCCCAAGGAAAGACACCAAATGCGATCCTTCTGGGACGTGAAGCCTGATGCCTTTTCAACAACGGAATAAAGGCTGACCCTCTGGTTTTAGAGAAAGATGGGCACTGGGAGTGCTGATAAGACAGATGCTTGCACCAAGTATAGAAAGAGTAAATACAGGCACAATTAGAGAACCCTGAACTCCTGATTCAGTGAAATTATTATAAATAAAACAAAGCTACCAACGAACTGACTGTTTTACCCGCCCTCCACTTTAGAGAAAAGGGCAAATTCTAAGAAAACAAATCCACTTTAGATCTGGTTAAATGGTCAACTCCATGAGTCACTGTGTAGTGATGAAGTACACAACTGTGGAGCCATTGAGACTGGCTCTCTCACTAGCTCTGTCCTCTGGGCACTGCACCTGGCCTCATCCATGACACAGCTCCCTAGGCTTGCTGAGGATGAAAGGAACAAATGTATGAAAAGCACTCTTCCCATTCTAGAACAGAAACTCCTGGACCAGGGGACCTGGGAGTCTAGAGCAAGCCTCACACAAGATAAATGCTAGACAGCCGTATGTTGAAGGGTGGATGGATGATTTCATTCTGAGGCAGGTGACATCCCAGCTAAGTCTCCAGACTCCTGTGCAGTTAAGAATCAAGTTCCATTAGGCACCCAGACTCTAGACAGTGGAGACCTCATGTCCTAGTCATCTCTGTATATTTCACAGGACTTCTTAGGATGATGGCTTACACATAACTTTGCGGACACAATCCATGTTTTTAGAAAGGCTGTTTGGTGCTAGGTTTGGTACCCATTCACGTATACCGCATAGATGAAACCTTTCAGCTAAAATAAGTCTTTATGAAGCAAACGAATCATGAGTAGGCATGACAGTCTCTCAAACTAGGCAACGGCCTTATCTATTAAGCTGTGCACAGTATGGACTGGAGCAAGACCTGATTAGAGGGAGCTAAGATTCAGAAAGCATGGGAGGGAGGGAAGAAAGGGGACGGGGTTTGGGGGCTCATACTGAGGTGTGCAAGACTCCAGGCAGGGAAAGCGCAGTGTCTGGGGCTTGAGGGGCAAGGAGGAACTACATAGGGGCTGCCACGGGCCCACGGACCTGGGTGCAATGGAGGGCACGACCCGGGCTGTCCCAGGCGCCAGGGGATCGGAGCGGCCCTGGCGGGGCCTTACCCGGACGTGCGGCCCCTCCACCAGCTTGAGGGCCTGCGCCTGGATCAGGTCGGCCCGCAGCTGCACCAGGAAGCGCACGCCGCCGTCCAGCTTGCTGATGTGGTGGAAGAGGCCGCGGTAGCGCGGCACCAGGGCGTAGCGCAGCCGGTCCTCGGCCTGCAGCAGCACGGCCGCCTCCCGCGGCTGCTCGCGCAGCTGGAGCACGCCGGCGCTCTGCTCGGCCACCTGGCCGTGGTCCACGCCGAAGTCCTGCGCCAGGCGGCCCAGCAGCTCGGCGCGCTCGGCCACCTCGGCCAGGCCGCCGTAGAAGCTCACGAAGTCCGCGCACTGGCCCTCGGCGGGCGCCGGCGTCTTCTCCCGCAGCTCGTAGACCGGCATCACGGGCACGGCGCGCCGCAGCAGCTCGTCCATGGCCCGGCCCAGGGCGCCCGCCGCCGTCGACCCGCTCGACAGCTGGGGACCGGGTGGCCGCTGCGGCCGCGGGGGAAACCGCAGCGGGAGGAGTCGCCGCGCCGCCAGACCTGGCCCGAGGCCTCGCATAGCGCCGAGAGACAGCTGCCTAGGTGACGCCGCCACCACCGAGGCCGGGTTCCGGCTTCCGACTTCCGGCGCGCGCCGGGCCTATTGGCCGAGGCCCAGGGACGGGCGGGGCGGCGGCCTATCGGAGGGCGCGGCGTCGGGGCGTGGGGGCGGGGCGGGGCGCGGCCCCAGGCCAAGTGCGGCGAAAGGTCGCGGCCCGGAGGCGGGGCTGGCAGTGGCTGGGCGCCCGACGTCACCGCCTCAGTCCCTCCCTGCTCTTACCCCCATCCCACCCCCGTGTAAGCACCTTTCTGTCTCTAGAACCGAACTCGCAGAGGCACCTGCGAACCGGGTGAGGCCTGCAGATTCCCATTCGCGAGTCCCAGAGATTCTGATTCAGTGTGGCTGGGGAGGAGACGAGGAATCTGCATGTCTACTAAGTTTCGGGTGGTAATCCTCTGACCAGGCAGCCTGGGCGCTGTCAACGTCTGATTATACAAGTGACTCCCAGCGCTGCAGCCCTTCCCTCTCTGAGCTCAGAACTAGGTTCTGGTGCCTGCTGGAGAGCTGTTCAGGGAGGCGATCAATGGGGCTTTTCTGAGCGCTGGTTCCCAACCTGTTCCTCCCTCCTTAGTATTCGTCCGTCCCACCGTCCACCCATCCATCCGAGTGTTTATTAACCACTTGGTATATTAGGTGCGGTGATAAAATAATTAACCAGACAGACCTGATCATGCCCCATGGAGTTTACAATCTAATGAAGGAGTCAGACGATAACATAAAACTAAACATTGCAATAAGTTCTATAAAGGAAATAAATGGTGGAACCATATAATATAGAAGGGTGGACTTCACACTGTAAACAGGGTCATCAGGGAAGGCCTCTCTGAAAACGTGGCATTTAAATGTAGGACCCATTTAAATGTTTAAAGAGGGGAGTAAGTGTTGGTGAGGATGTTGAGAAGATGGAATTCTCGTATGCTGTTGGTGGGAATGTAAAATGGTGTAGTCTTTCTGGAAATCATTTTCGTCGGTACCTCAAAAAGTTAAAGATAGAGTTACCTTATGGCCCAGCAATTCCCCTACTAGATATGCAGGAGAATGGTAAACATAAGTTCACAGAAAACCTTGTACATGAATTTTCATAGCAACATTATTGATAATAGCCAAGAAACAGAAACAACCCAAATGCCAATGAACTGATGAATGGGATGAAGCAAAAGCTGCATATCTGTTCAATGGAATGTTATCAGCCATAAAAAGGAATGCAGTACTGATACACGTTACAACATGGATGAACCATGAGAGCATTATGCCAAGTGAAAGAAGCCAGGTAACAAAAGACCACATATTATATTGTTCCATTTACAGTATATGAGATATCCAGAAGAGGCTAATCTATTGAGTCAGAAAATAGATTAACGGTTGCCTAGCACCTGGGAAGGGGAGAATGGGGAGTGACTGATAATATCTTATGGAGTTGCTTTTCAATGATGAAAATGTTCTGGAATTAGATGAAAATTGTGCATATACTAAAGACCACTGGCCTGCGCACTTTTAAATGGCTAAATTTGTGAATTTTGTTGTGTAAACTTTATCTTAAAAAAAAAAAAAAAGACTCCCCAGCCGAAATCGATTTGGCTCAGTGGATAGAGTGTCGGTCTGCGGACTGGAAAGTCCCAGGTTCAATTCCGGTATATATCTTGGTTTCAGGCACATACCCAGTGGGGGGTGTGCAGGAAGCAGCTGATCAATGTCTCTCTCTCTCATTGATGTTTCTAACTATCCTTCTCCCTTCCTGAGTCAAGGGGTAGTCTTTAATTCCTTTAGCTGAAGCTCCTCTGACCCCCAATGCCTTTCAAAACCATCTTTCGTCTTTGGACTCCTTATTGAATCTACGCACAGCTCCTTTCTCCAGATTGCTGAACACTTTGTAATGCTGGGACAAGAAGCCCAGCATCTGTGCTGTTTATTTCCTATAGATTCACTTCTCATCACATCACATACATTTCTCATGTTTCTAAATGAACTTCATAATTATGTTTTAATGGCTGCTTAACATTCAATTGCATTGTTGTACCATAATATCTATCTCTTAATCACTTTCCAGTGTCTGGATACTTACGGAGTTTCTAATTTTTTTTGGTTGAAAAAATATTTATATAGTCATTCTGCAGGAAATACTTTCATGCATGCTGACTTTCATGCTTTTTCTTTACTGGATTTGCCCAAATTGCTTAAAAAGACCAACTAGGATAATTTTCCCATGAAATGTCAAACTAACAAGAAATCTAGAATGAAAAGAGACTTATAACTCAGAGCTAGCTGGGAATGTAGTCACAATTCCTGGGGACTCCCTCCAGTTCGCACTTGTGTGTTTATGCATCTCTCCCCACCAATAATCCAATAAAATCATCTCTGCTATGAATATACAATGCTAATGTAGATTTATCTCCATTTGGGTTGTATCAGATTGGGTTGTTTTTGCTGTTACAGTGCTACTCTGAACATTCTTAGTCATGTCTTTCAGTCCTGGGGTACACATGCAGGGGTCTCTCTAGACCGGTTTCTCAACCTTGACACACTAGACATTTAGGGATAGATTCTTTGTGATATGGGATGTCCTGTGTATGGTGAGATGTTTAGCAGAATCCCTAGCCTCTACCTAGATGCCAGCAGCATATCCCATTTGCGACAACCAAAAATGTCTATAGACATTGCCAAATGTCCCATGGGGGACAATGCAGCCCTCCCACTGTTGAGAACCACTGCTCTAGACCAGTGGTTCTCAAACTTCGTTGCACTTGAGAATCACATGGGAGAGCTTTTAAATATTCCATGTCCAGACTGCACTCGGTCCAATTAAATTGGAAGCCCTGGGGCACACTGCTAGCACTGATGCTCACATTGCCTGCACCCGGAAATCACCTGGGAGCTTTAAAAAGCACTGATGCCAGAGGTTCTGATGTAACCTGGAGTGGGGCCTGGGCATTAGGGTTTTAAAAAGTGAAACTTCAGGTGAGTCCAATGTGCAGTCACGTTTAAACATTGGGGCCAATGCCTATGATATTGCTGGGCTGCAGGGCCGCACATTATAAAGTGACAGAAAACGGTTTTTAACCACGGTTTCCAACAGTGTCTTTGACTTATGTCTGCCCTCCTCCCCCATCACTGCCCTCCGTGCTGAGCTCCAGGAAGGCAGTGTCTGCCTCATTTATCTTTGGGTAACTGTTGCCTAACTCAGTAGCTAGTACAGAGTAGCTGCTTAATGTATATTTGTTGTTGAATGATTGGGAATGGGTGATAATTTTGCTGCAATTTTATTTATTTATTTTTTAATATATTTTATTGATTTTACACAGAGAGGAATTGAGAGGGACAGAGAGTTAGAAAAGTCGATGAGAGAGAAACATCGACCAGCTGCCTCTTGCACCCCCCCCCACTGGGATGTGTCCGCAATCAAGGTACATGCCCTTAACTGGAATCAAACCCGGATCCTTCAGTCCGCAGGCTGACGCTCTATCCACTGGGCCAAACCGGTCCCGGCAATTTTGCTGCAATTTTAAAACACCTTGTTGTTGGAGCCAGTAGGGAGAGAAGCAGAATTAAGGCGACTGGACATGGAGCCAGCACCTGATGGATCTTTATCACATTCCTCAGTATCAAGCTAAGAAAGGTGGCCAATTGTCAGCAAGTGTGAGAACTTATAGATGCTTCATTCTGAAGCCTCTGAGGACTTCCTGCTGTTGGAAGCAGGGGAGAGGTGACGGGTGCCAGGAATGAGGGGCTTTGGATGCTGAGAGAAAGGACTCAGGACGGTGATGGGCAGCTGAATGGAGAGACTGAGGTGAAGGGACTCCTAGGTGTTGTGGGGTCGAAACCTGGGTTCAAAATAAGACCACCGGAGGCTGATGATTAATTAAAAAAAGCAGGCAAGGATTTATTGAAATAAAAACTGGCCAGGACAGCTGCGAGAGCACCACACGCAGGTGGTCTCCACACGACTGTACCATTTCAGGGGTAGGCAGTCCCTTTTAAAGGTTCAAACCTCAGGAATTTTCCTTTGTTTCTAAATCCTAAAGACTACATTCTAAAGACTGGGGACAGCCCACAGGGTTGGTACCCAGTCACATCCTGCTGGACATTGGAATGTGGCCCTATCTTGAGATAGGGATAACACAGAAGCAGAGCTCAGCGGTTAGTCTCTAAAGGTTATCTGCAGTTTCTATCCCCGAAGCTACTGAGTCAGTGGGAATCCATCTCCTGTGGTCCTGGTCCCAGGCAAGGGAAAAGTGCCTTAGCCTCCAGGTCTCCACCTGGAAGCTGAGGTAAGTATTCCGTGTTTAATCAGGCAGGAGCCAGACTTAGCAGGGTTAAAATTCAAACAGCAGTTTTTACCAAAGTGCGGTTGCCACTATATTTCATTCTCCACTGGTTTTATGTGCATGGTCAAATCATTGGCTCATCCTACTTCCTTTACGGGCATTCCCTATTCCTTTCTTGTTCTCCAGTCCCATAGCACATTTAGTCTTACTTAGCCCTGGACTTTCTCACTGGCTAGCAAAAAAAAATTTAAAAAAAAATTTAAAAAAATGTTCTTACAGTTACCCAAACCCCTAGTACCACAGTTCCCATTAGTTCTGTCCTCACTGAAGTCCAATTCCCCTTCTGCAGGCATTAAGTCTCCTCCTGGCCTGTGTGGAGCCCAAGCTAGGGATCTCACGGGTGAGGCTGCTGGTTGCCAGGATCCAGGCCATTTTCTGTGCAGGAGCTGGGAGTGGGTGTAGCCAGGTTTGGGTGCCATCTACTTCAACAGCCGTGGGCGTGCTCAGGATAACAGTGTAGCGTCCCTTTCAGGTTGGGGTGAGTCCTTGGACAGTGAACTTCTTTAC